GGTTGCGCGCTTCGCACGGAGAAATCCCGGGATGCAGCAGCAGCTGCCCCGGGGAGCTGCTCCCCTGCGGGGAGGAGAAGAGCTGGTGGTGAAGGGGTGAGGCTTTCACTTGTCCAAGGACCAGGGTGGTGAGGCAGGAGCATCCCATGTGGGTCCTAGCGCAGCCTGGCTTGTTCTCAGTGCGTATTGGGCGTTTTAACTTTTGAAGCTAATTTTTTTTTTTTTTTTGTCGGGTCTGCGCAGCCCCTCCTCCCCCTTGCCCTGCTCCTCTCTGACGGCGCGCCTAGCATTGCCGGGGCTTGGGAAAGGCGTATGTAAGATTGCAATGTGCTTCACGCGGGCTTGGGCGCAATACGGCGTGTGGGATGGTGGTGACCGGCCCGGTGCCACGGGAGCAGGTGGGAGCCGCTGGTTGTGGCCACCGAGTCTCCCGTCCGCCTGGGGTTGTTTCTCCTGCCTTGGTGTTGGCTTATGTGAAGATCTCCAGGCTTCTGATGCTGGGCCGGGAGAGGGGAAATCAGACAGTATTAATGCAGTATTAACATAAAACTAACAGTTTGGGGCAGCAGGAGGGGAGAAATTCGGCACGTGTTGCTGTAGTCCGTCCGCCCGAGCCCTCCGGCTGCTGGTGGCTGTGATGGGGCTGGGTGATGCTGTTGGCTCCCGTGGCTGGCTGGCTCCCTGGTGTTAAGCTTCATGTTGCTGTTGAAAACTCCTGTCTCCTGCTTCCGGTTTTTTCTGTGGGGTTTTGGGGGATTGTTTTTTGTTTTGGTTTTCTTTTTTAAGGGGGGGGTGGGGAGAGGGGTTATTTTCCGGTTGGGGGTGCTGGGTTTTGGGTTTTTTGTTTTTAGTAACAAAGGAAAAAAGACTTTTTCCATGCAGTTTCTACTTAACCAGAGACCACTCTGTGGTGCCGCTCAAGCGAATGGCTTAGACACGGAGAGGGCTGGAGCTTTGTTTAGTAGCAGAATAGCACATGCAGTAGGATAAGCTAGAATAAGATGAGCAGAGCTGTTTAAAATAAGAGTCGTGGGTGGCTCTGTAGCTGGACCTGGAAGACAAGGTCCTCTGTGGACTGCTGCGTGGTGGGGTGCCGGACGCACCCCTGCCCTCCTTGCTCGGGAGATGTCCTCCGAGACTGCAATGCATGGCTGTGGCCTCCCTCGCCCGTGGCTGTATCTGTTTATACTGAGCCAGAGCTGCTGCCCTCTGCTCGGTGTTTTCCTGGGTGGGAGACGGGGCGGAGGAGAGACCTCCTTCCCCAGGGATTGCTGCTTCATCTCAGGGGCAGCAGGGCTTCCCTGTGCCTGCGGTGCTCGGGGCTGCCTCTGTCACCCTCTGGTCCCCGAGGCAGATGGCTTGGAAGGGCTCCCTGTCCTTTCTGCCTTCTCCTCCCAGCCCTGGCTGCAGAGGATGGTGCCGGAGTGCCAGCTCCAAGGGATGACGGTGATGGCAGCACGTCCCTTCTGGAGGGGTCTCCTTGCTCCAAGCAAGGGAATTGAGCCAAAAGGGGCGCAGCCCCATTTTCAACAGGTTAAAATTTACCCCGTGGAGCCTCCAGCAGAACTGGGAGGCCCTGCTGCTGGGAGAAAGCAGACCTGCAGCCCGATCCCGTGACAATAAATTCTCTCCTATACTCAGCGTAGTCTTCATTCTTGGCAGCTGCAGCTGAAGTTATTTTAAACTTGTCTACAGCTGCCTGCTTGCCTTGGAGCCGTGCCCGTGAGTGCCCTGTGTGGTGCTTTTACGGATGCCTAGACCTGTCCCAGGCTCGGCAGAGCAACTCCTGTATTTAATTAAATTTAATTAAAGAGAGAGCAGAGATGAAGCTCTCCCCCTTCCCCAGGGGTTCTCTGGCTGCTGGAGCGAACGCTGTAACCACAAGGCTGGAAAACCCCTTTTCTTACCTCCCTTCTGGCTCCCTGGCCTCCATGTTGGGCCGTCAGGGTGGACGGGGTCTTTGCCCAAGAAAAAGTGGTTTTGTGGTAAATCGGGCACGCTGGTGAGAGGTGGGAAAGGGGGACCTCTTTCACCAAGAACAGCATTGGAGTGGGGTCTCTGCGCCTTCCAAGGGGGTGTAAACCACTAGGGAGCATCTGGCTTTGCAAGGCGAGCTTGCGCTGGTCCTTTGGAGATGGAAGTCTGCGGTTGTGGGGTAAAAACCCCTGGAGACACCAGCAAGAGATCACCCCGAGGGTTTATGCTCTTCTGTGGAGGATAGGGCTGGTTACAGGCGCTTTTTCAGCCCCACAAATTCTGCAGCGGTGCTGAGCGCCAGGCGTGCTGCCTCGCACCAGCAGCAGCTTGCAGCGTTCCTGCACCACTTTCCTGAGCTGCAGAGGAAAAGAGGGCCCAGAAAACTGCTGCTTCAGCACGTGCATCTCTGCTCAGGGGTGTTTAAGCCTGGTGCTGATGCAGAAGATGAGCCTGGTGAGGCAGGAGAAATGCGAAACAGCTGTTGGAGCAGATTTCCCTTATTTACTCCCTTTCCCTCCTCCGCGGTTTGCCCTACACGCGTGGTCTGAGTTAGCCCTGCAGAAACAGACGGTTACAGGCAGATGAGTTTGTATTTGATGCTGTAGCCTGTTGCAAATGCTGCACTGTTTTGTTTGTTTTATTTTTTAATCAACAGATTGTAATTTATGCCTATGCAATAAAAAAGAAAAGACCAAGACAAATAAATTATATCAAAACTGCTGTGAGCTTCTTGGGTGTTTAGTGGGTGAATGGGCTGGTGGGAATGATGCACAGCTAGTCAAAGGAAAGCTACAAGAATAGTTCTGTGTATTCTCAGGGCAAGGCGTTATTTTCCAGCCAGACGTACTAACCCTAGGGTCAGCAGCTTGTGTCTTCTCCTCGAGCAGGCTCTGGGCTGCCAAAGCTGCTTGGAGCAACATTGAAAACAAGACCTACTCTTAAAAACATCAATGTCTTGGGAGACTTAAAATCAAAATACTGCATCTTTTAACGACTTGCAGGAGTCTAGGTCTGTGAGAGACCATGGCCATGTGCTCGGCCCATCCTGCAGTGACCTTGAAGCTGTCCCCGGGCATCAGCCTGTCCTCTGCCTTATCATGGCCCCAAGCAGAGCCCAGCTTGGCCCTGAGGCATTGCAAATGGGGCTCGGCCTGACACAAACCTTAATTAAGGGTAGCTGGATGTTGCTCTCTTCCATTTAACCTGGGCTGTAAATTACTCAGCAGGCAGCCAAGAGCAAGCAGAAAAGAAAGATTTCATGGTCCTAAGCATGAGGGGGCAGACAAACTGATACGGACAACAAATGGCAAGCGATGGGGTATTGGGTGCTCAGGACCGAGGGCTCAAACATAGGCAGGAGCAGAGGGGCGAGCACACCTCCAGCAGCATCTCCACTCCCCCCAGGTGTCCATAGTGCTTGATACATCAGGAGCAGATGATGTTGGGTCCAGCTACCACCAGCTCCCAGCCCAACACTTACCTGTGTTAGGAAAGCACAGTGCAGGGCAGCAAAAACCTTCGTGAACCTCTGAGATCAACCAAGGAGGTAGGAAAAGGCCTGCTCCAAGCCCCGGAGGGTCCCGCTGTATTTACAGAAACAGGCGAGGTGCAAATCGCCACGAGGGCCCAGAGAAGCACAAGTTTACGCAGGCAGTGGAAGTGCTGGGCTCAAACTGCGTCCTCTAGCAAAGCGTCTCCGGACCCAAACGATTTGCTACAGCAGCTCTTCACACACACACACACACACGCACCCCACACAGCATAGCTCTCACCACGCAAGCACTCCCATTTCACCACTCTGCTGCCGAGAAGCACCGCATCTTAGGCACAGCAGAAGCTGG